CCATATCTCTGAGTTTTGAGTGGGCGCATGTCGCCAGTGTGCTGCGTTACTGTTTACATGTGTGAAAAGTGTGTTTGAAAACGAGTCTGATTGCAATTGCATGAAAGTTGGACCAAATACAGCTGTAATGACTGGGCATTTTATTCGGATGAAGACGGTAGCACATGCTGAAGCGACCTGGGTCCGGGATAGAGTCAAGAAGTTGTGGTCCCCCCTCTTGCCTCCTCCCCCCGCCCCCCTCACCCCCCGCCTCCCTTTCCCTGATCACCATCCCTCTGTCTGTTAATCTCCTGAAATCCCTGAAAGGTGTGAGAAGAACAGCTGGTTCCTCCTACTCACGAGGAAAATGACACTATGGGTCATATGGAAGAGAAGATGTGCCCAATCTATCGACCTGTAATGACCCGCCCAAACACAGATTGAGAACACTGCTGATTTCTGGGATTTGCCTCTGGAATGAATGCCTTGCTGAGATTCCCGCATTCTGCTGTGGTTTCCAAGTCTGTGTGTGTGTGCGTGCCTGCTGGTTTGCGTGCCTGTCTGAGTGCTTGTCGGCTGAGTGTGTGTGTGACCCGCAAGGGTACTTGTTGGTTGAAAGGCCCCGCGGGGCCGGTACTTACCTGTGGCCGTGACTTTGAGGGTTGCAGCGGGGAAAACACTTCAAAACACTCAAGTAGCGGGGGTAGGCCCACGACACTTAGAGCAGCGGGGAAAAACACTCAAGTTTAGCAGGTAGGCCGCTCAAGTAGTGGTAGGAGTGTCCGGTACTGGAGGCCGAGCAGAAGAAGACAAAAAGTTGGCATTTTTAGAGGCCCAGTAGTGGTAGGTTAGAGGTAGGCCGGTACCAGTCCAAGTAGCCTGAGTCTAGGGCCTGTCCTGACGACAGCAGAGCCTGCAATGATGTTTCCCTCCGAAAGGGAGGAGGTACCGGTTGCTGGGAGGCCGCTCGGCCTAGGAAGTCACCGCCCAAGAGGCCAGTAGGCCGCTATATCTTCGGGAGGAGCAAGCAGCTCCTCCTCATTTGCGGTATGCAAGGATTGGCGACATGCTGCTGGAGCCAAGCGCTGGACTTGGGCAGCGCTGCCTGGAGGTGACGAGCAGCTGGGCTCTCAGCCTGGCTATGGCGAGCAGCCCAGCCTGAGGAGGAGGAAGAAGGGGGCGAAGGAGGAGAGTGGCGAGGTACCTACCTGGCTATGGTGGACACCATCTTCATCACCTTGTTGGGCGCTGCATCTGGAAGGCCCCAGTTGGGGTAGTGCCGCACCAAGGAAGCTCGGGGCAGGGCCCTCAGTAGTCTGCCATAGCCTAGGCATGTGAGAGGTGGAAGAAGAGGGGGGAAGCCATAGCTATGGTGGACCTGTTGTTGTGTCAGCAGTAAGAGGGAACTTCGGATATTGATTCTGGTTCATCCACTCATTGTTATTAGTATTATTATTGGAAGAAGAATAAGATTGGTGAAGTGAAGGAGGAGGAGGAAGGTGGAGAGAGAAGGGGGATTTGTCATTGGTCTTGCTGGTGTACTTCTTCTTCTTCTTCTTCTTCTTCTTCTTCTTCTCTTCTTTGGTCTCTATCTCTTTGCAAGTGCTTTCATTTCTTTCGCAATTGGGTGGCATTGTCTGTCAATTGTGAATTTGCACTTTTGGAATGACCAGGATCGTAACAGACCGCAAACAAAATGCAAGAGAGGAAGTCTGGTGTCCTTATCAGAATGGTGAAAACTGAATCCGGGGCAGATGGAACACAATCAAACACTCAGCGACGACCCATCCAGACAAGTTCACAACCAGGAAGAGAGTCTTCCACAAGCTTGGGTGCTGCAGGGCGAGGACAAAATCCCAAGGATAGATGATAACACATTGAGGTGGAAGAAATGGAAGGGGGCGATGAAGAAGGAGATCGGACAACGTGGGATGTCACCCTCGCGTTCAAGGATGTGGAAACTTTCAGGAAGTACCAGATCTTGCCTTCAACTGATAATCTTAGACTATCCATTGGGCGGGCAAAGCCCCCGGCCCCTTTATAGCTCTTGCTTAACCATAGCAATACGGCGGCTCTGAGACTGAGAGGAACTCAAGAAGCAAAAGGCTATCTGATAGTCAACCCTCCCTTAAACCACCACCAGTACATGCAGCTATCCGCTGCGGGCCCTTTTCGGAGGCCGCCCGCCACCAATTCAATTTATCTACGGCGCTGGGCCTCCGCAATTTTCCTAGGCGACGAGTTTTCTTTTCAGCAAGGCTGGGGCCGTGTACTGGCGGTTTAAGGGAGCAGTCAATGCTGTTCAGGGTTCCCTTGACCTAGATGGAAGGAAGCATGGAGTGGGTTGTACTAAATATTTCTTATTCTACTTCCTGGTTAACCAAACTGATGCCCCATTCCTGTGAAAAAACAAAAAGATGCCCCATCCTCAGAAAGAAAAGACTGGACAAGGAGCCAGAACCATAATGACCCATCTTCAAAAAAAAAGAACAAAACTTAAAAAAAAGGAAAATAAATTGTACTAAAAAAATAAAAATGTACAGGCATTTTCAAACAGCCTACGTAAGGGCTAGTACGTGCCATTCACCGTGCGCAGGACTCCGTAGCTGTCCCCTCTCCCCTCCCTTCCCCCCTCCCCTTTCCTGCCCCTCTGTCGCTTCCCCTTTCCCTCCCTTCCTTTCTCCTTTTTCCACTCTCCTCCCCTTCCTCACCTCCTCCCTCTTCATCCCCTTCC